CGTCGTTAGCGTGTAAAGATGGTCAAGAATCTACATTTACCCAACTTGCCTCAGGTGAGGGAAGACAAGACAAGACAAGACAAGCTTCTCTTCTGCACATATCATCACTGTCATTGTTAACTTCACAAGCACAGAACCGGTGTATATACTTCATATTCTTCCCACACTGCAGTATAATAACTCCAGAGACCGAGAGAGGAAATGGAATCCTTGGAGGTCAGACCCAATAAGTTAGTTGCTGTGAGTCACTACAAAATCCACCTTCAAAGACAGAGCAAATCTGTTTCTTTAGGACATGTAAGATTTCTCTGTCTCTTTGGTGTGTGTGATAGAGAGATGTTGTTCTTGGATTTTGTTTTTTTTTTCAATTCTTGATTGGTTCTTTTGTTGTCGTCCTTCTCTGTCTTCAGCACTTGCTGTTAAGTATAGGTTGTGTTCCCCGCTTTGACTTTTGTGGTTAAAACAGGCTACATTACATACTGTGGCGTATGTGTTTGTGTTGCATCAGTATTCAAAATGATATAACAAAGGGATTCGCTTATCATATATCTTTTTTTTTTTGGACTAAATGATTGATATTGTCTTGCATATCGATATTCGTCTTGATCAAATTTCCAAATAAAGAGGCCTTGATTAGATCGCATGCGAATATGTACATAAATATAAATACAAGGAAAATTGTACTTCAACTATGCTCTTTTTTAGCATTTGAGGGAATTAATGGACCTTATTAGTTTTAGAAAATGTTGAAAGCTGAACTGTGATATATTTTTTTTACTGCAAATAGTTATCGAATTTAATTATAATGTGAATTTTTTTTTCTTGATAGGGCTTTCTATCTAATGAGAGTTGTAAATATTAAAATTCCACAACCGTCTTGGGGGCTTTCCGTCAAAGTAAATGACGAGTCTCCTAACTTAGTTCGAAATCTACAGGGCATGTTAATAAAAAATATTTTAAATAGTTCATAATGAATTAAGATTTAAGAGAAAATAAGTTCAGAATAATATTTAAATATAAAAATTGTAGACGATCATACTTAATCAATGTGTTTCTCTCACCATTAATGTTTAAATCGTAAGAATAATTTGAAGGAAATGTTATTAACCCTCACACCAGTAAACCCAGGACAAGTAATTTCGCTTGTGAACAGAACAGAAGGGAAGAAACCCTCGTATCCACCGTCACGTCACGCTACAATCTTAAAACTCGATTTTACCATTATGCCCCCTGACATATGACTGTTGGGAGGATAACAAAAGGGCAAAAACGGGAACATCTTGCCAGAAAAAGGTTGGGATTTTTTTTTACCTGACCAGTGGTGTGTTGAGATCGATCGAGGAGTTTCTTTCCTGTTCCTGCTGTTCTTGTTCTTGTTCTTGTTCGTCTTCCTTCCTCGAACACGGGAATAAGGACCCGAATTACTGAACCTATATCCCATAAAACAAAAATTACACAGCACCATTCGTTCGTCATCTTCCAACGATAAAGTGCACAAGGAAAAGAAAGAGAGTCAAAAGTTCCGTATACCGAGACTCCTCTTCTTCTTCTTCTGGGCTGGTTTCGTATACCGCTCTTTTCTAAATCTCTTTCCTTTTCTCTCTAGATTTCCCTCTGGGTAGCCTCAAATTTCCTCAAAGTTCGTATCTTTCTTCCTGTTTCTTTATCAATTTCTCCCTTGATTCGGCGAATCTCGGGGATCTTGGAGTCTGCCTCATCAGGGTTGGGCCCGAATTCGTGGAATTTCTCGTCAAAACCCTAGCTTTGGTTCGGGTTTGAGTGCTGGATTGTGGGCCGTCTGGCAAGTGAGCTCCTGATGGTTAGTTTTCTTTTGGAAACCCTAGTTGTATTTTCGTCCTCCAGATTAACTTGCTCGCGTTGTTCGATTTGGAAAATTGGATTATGGTGATTGTTTGATAGCTCGATTCTGGGGAATGATGTCGTTTGAGCCCGTCTGCTCTGCTTCTATTTGAATTTGTTGTTCGCAAGTTTTCGTCTTGATCGCCTTTTCCTCTTGTGTGCTAGCTAGTTGTCTTGTGTGATTTGAATTGGCCATACTAGTTTAGAGCTGGAGTTCTGGAATTTGTATTCGATTGAGCCGTGTCTATAGCAATGCTTGTTTCAGTTATTCATAAAACTCGCTTTCGGTTTTACTTGCTTCATATATTTGAAAATACGAACTTGCAAACTTTCATGTATGCCGTACTATTCTGATGCTTCCTGCTCTGATGGTCTTTGCTTCTATATGTTTCCTTGAGTGGGTTATGTATTCAGGCCCCTCTGTTTTTCCCTGGTAATGTATGCTTGTAATGGCTCTTCGTGATCTGCCCCTTGCAATGTTCTGAATTCGCTGGAAGGATGCAACTTAGAGGGGAATTCTCAGGATTTAATTTTGAAGAGAATTCCATACCTTGATAGATGGATTAAGTTTTTATACAGTTAGGGTTGTGTTCGTATTTCCTTCTTTAGAATTTAACTGTGATGTAATTTCAACCAACTGGATTTCATATGTAATGAATTTTCTGTTATCTGAGAATCAGATCTGAACTTTCCCAGACCCTTGGAGGCCATCTTAAAGCTAAAATAAAATAGGCTTGATCTATCTTAAATCTCTCCTTTCCTGTTTTTTTTCTTTTCACATGTGAGCGCACAAAATTAAATATGCCTATTTATGGTTATGATCCGGTATACTTATTATGATATTTTCCTTACTGTTTCAGCACTACATCTTCTAACAAATCCAGCCCCGGCTTTTGGCACCTGTTCTTAAGCTGAGACTGGGGTGAATCTACATTTGACGGTTGACTTCCAATGGGCTTCTGGCTATGAACACATTATCTTTTACTGTAAGGGGAGCACGCAAAATAAAAGAGAAAGTCCATGAAAAAAATCCGTATGGTACTAGAATGTGCTTTAGCTTTTAGAGTTTATTCTGGTGGATTGATGTCACTACCAGTATGTCTGGTATAGTTTGGAGAAATGCAAAGGTATCACGCTGCCAGCTGCACTAGTGCAGTCAACAACAATGCGGTAAGTGGTGCATCCGCTAGGGACACAGGACGAGCAGATTCCTCTTCAATTGGAAACTACTCGCTAAATTCCAGGCATGTTGTTAGAATGAAGCTGTCTCATAGTGGCTTATTTGTTTATAAACTTAAAAGACATCTTTGTACTGTTTTGCTACAGGAAGTCACTGCCATTAACACCCTACAAGTTGAAGTGTGAAAAGGACGGTCTGAATTCTAGGTAATTCCTCTGTGACCTTACTAGTGGTTTAGTTTCCAGGTGTACCCATTAGTTTTGCTATGGTTGTGTTCGTAGTCTTCTCCTATACAATTGGATCGGTTTGTCTTTAGCAAGGGATCCTACTTTTATGTTATATCCCTGCAAGGTTAGCGCCATGGGAAGTTTGTTAATGCAATAAGTTGGCCATTCTTGATTTACTTGTACTTTGGTAGAGTTTTTACTTTTGCTTCATATCATCACAGACTAGGGCCACCAGACTTTCATCCTCCTACATCTGATTCTCCCGAGGAGAACCTGACCAAAGAGTATGTACAGTTTGGATACAAGGAAACTGTTGAGGGACTTGAGGTGTGTTCCTTCAATCAATCAAATTTGATTACTCTTCCAAATCGCAGCAACTTCAACTCTCAGATGTCACACTATCAATATTGTTAGCATACACACACACACATATATATATATGATCAGAATGAATAATAGGCATGAACTGTTTTACTGAGCCTGAACATTCTTTGCTACTTGGTAGCAATATTAGTAATGCTTTATGCTACCTTGAACTGAGATTTATCAGTTCCATGAGTTGTGGACAGCTAGCGAGGCTATGTCTAACAAAAGTTTCATATTTTCTTTTTATGTTTCTAATTTCAAATCCTACACTAGTTTTTCGTTTCATTCATTTCCATCCTTTTAAACTGAATTCTGTATGTGCACCGTTTTTAGGAAGCCAAAGAGATTACATTGAGCCAGGTTCACAATTTCTCAAAGCCTGTTGTCCTAAAGTGCAAAGAGGTAAGCCTTTACTTTTCAACATTAGAGTGGTGACCAGACATTCTTTTTCCATTCTTATTTCTTGCCGTTATTAGAGTTAAACTGTTTACATGTTATGGAATTTTTAAATTTTTTTTTTCAGGCTGTCAGAAAGTGTCTTAGGGCTATTAATGATTCTCGTGCTCAAAAGCGCAAGGTAGTATAGAGTTTCCCAGACTTTATTTTATTCCCTTTAAATTTATGATGAGATATTTGAGTGGTATTTTGGGCTTCAGTCTCCCTGTTCTCTTTAGATTTATAACGAGATTTTTCTGTGGTACGTTAGGCTTCAAAACCTATCAGATTTTAAATTTTTATAATTTGAGTCAGCCTTACTCTTTTTGGCAGGCTGGCCAGGTTTATGGAGTACCTCTGTCTGGTTCGCTTTTATGCAAGCCTGGATTTCCTGAACAAAGACCTTGTGGGGAAGAGACAAAGAAAAAATGGATTGAGGTACTCGAGCATATGCAATACCTTTCTAAAATCTGAGAATCATCCATGAGGCATTGTTAATCATGTTTGATGTATTCCTGGCGTAGCAATTATACTATTACTATATAGATGAAGCCACCATTGGATTGTCCATTCTTCATGTAATGTCTTTGCCAAGCGACTAGAATTCAGGACTGGAAGAGGAGGGGGAGGGGGGTAGAATGAATACATGTTTTGGATGTGCTTTCTGTAGAATTCTTAACTCTTTCTTGCTGTCATTTTTTCTCAGGGTTTATCACAGCAGCATAAACGACTATGTTCTGTGGCTGATCACATTCCACATGGATATCGGAGAAAATACTTATTTGAAGTCCTTATAAGGAACAATGTCCCTTTACTGAGAGCTACTTGGTTTGTAAAAGTGACCTATCTTAATCAGGTAGGTGACTGTATGTGGTTACAGATTTACCATCCCCAATTGTCTTATTTTAGTGGTGGAGGATCTCATTTTTGTGCTTCCATTTTACAGGTGCGTCCTGGTTCTTCAGCTCTTTCTTCAGGGTTACCTGACAAGACACAATCTGCTCGTTGTGAGCTATGGACAAAAGATATCATTGATTATTTGCAGTACCTCTATGATGAACTTTTGTCACGGAATAATTCATATCCTACGCATCACGCACGAGTTAGGTCACCACAGATGCTTTATACGGGATCGATGCAGAAGATTAATCCAGCATCAACATCAGCTCCTGACGGTGAGGAGCCGTCTCTACATCTTAAATGGTGGTATATGGTCCGCCTCTTGCAATGGCACCATGCAGAAGGGCTGCTTCTTCCGAATCTTATCATTGATTGGGTTCTGAAACTATTACAGGTACTCTACTTTCTAAGTCATTCTCCTCCTTGTGCTCCAAGTAGTTCTTTGTTGGCTTATCCTTTGTTGGATATTTCTTTCTTCTTTACTTTCTTATGTTGGCGTTTGATTTATTTCAGGAAAACGAAGTCTTTGAAATTCTGCAGTTGCTACTCCCTATAGTATATGGTGTTTTAGAAAGCATTGTACTTTCACAGACCTATGTGCGGAGCCTTGTGGCAATCGCTGTCCGTTTCATCCAGGAACCTTCTCCTGGGGGGTCTGATCTGGTTGATAATTCTCGAAGAGCGTATACTCTTTCTGCTCTGATTGAGATGGTCCGGTACTTGATCCTTTCTGCACCTGATACATTTGTTGCTTCAGATTGCTTCCCTCTTCCTCCTTCAGTAGGAGCATATGGACCTAATGATGCGAGTTTTGCATCAAAGGCATTTGAGAATTTGGAAAAGCTGAAAAGTGGTTCTGCAGAAGTTTCTTCTTCTCAGTTCCAGGGCAGAGGCACGGATCCGAGGTTTGAATTCCTATCTTTTGATCATATCATCTCAACCATCCAAAGAAGTGCTGATGATCTTGCAAACATTGCGAGTGCCGGTTATCCTCAACATAATGTGGCTAAAGCAGTTCAGGCCTTGGATAAAGCTCTCTCGGATGGAGATATTAGAGCTGCTTACTCTCATCTCTTCGAAGACCTCTCTAATGGAGCCATTGATGAGGCTTGGATTGCTGAAGTCAGCCCATGCTTAAGATCATCTCTCAGATGGATTGGGTCTGTGAGTACATCCTTTGTCTGCTCTGTCTTTTTCCTTCTCGAATGGGCAACATGTGATTTTAGAGCTTTTCAGTCTGGTGTGCCTAAGGACATCAAGTTCACTGGTAGAAAAGATTATTCTCAGGTGTATTTAGTTATTCAGCTCTTGAAACAAAACATTTTGGGCATGGATTCCGGGTCTCGTCGAAAGAATCGTCGTAACAGTTTTCTTGGAATTTCGGGAATTAGCCGCTCGATGGATGTATTTGAAAGCCCGGGTCCTTTGCATGACATCATAGTCTGTTGGATTGATCAGCACGAGGTACACAGCAGAGGTTCAAAGCCACTCCAACTACTCATCTTTGAACTTATACGTTCCAGAATCTTCTATCCCATAGCATATGCGAGACAGCTGATGGTTAGTGGGATGATTGATGCAATTCGACCTGCTGTTGAACTAGAAAGGAGAATGAGGCATCATCGCATATTGAAGCAGCTACCTGGGGTTTTCATCCGTGATACCTTGGAGGAAGTGCGGATCTTAGGAGGGGCTAAGCTTTCTGAAGCAGTGAAAATCTTTTCAAACGAGCGACGTCTTCTTTTACGAGAACTGGAGATTGATGGAAGTAAATATCTGGATAATGTGGTGCTGTCAGATAAGAGTTTAAAGCGTAAACATAAGCCTTGTTCTTTTGCTTCAATTGGTATATCGAGGCCTACTAATGCCATGACCAATGCGGTGCTTGAGGAAAGTACCAAAAGCAGTATGGATATCGGAGAACTAAAGGAGTTAATATCAGCTTTACTACATTTTCCAGATGTGTCGTCGTCTGGTATGACAGAATCTGTGCCAGATGATTCTCAATGTGGTTTGAAAAGATCTGGTGGATCTTTTTGTAGCAACATGGATCAAGCTGAAGCTACACCAGGCTGTGAAGATTGTAGAAGAACAAAGAGACCAAAACTGAATGAGGAGAAGAGCTCATTCATCCAAGGGTATTCACCAATTGCATCAGACGAAGAAGATAACTGGTGGACAAGGAAGGGCTCCAATACAATGGAGTCTTCTATGAATGTAGATCCACCGTCGAAGTCAATTATTAAGCAGGTACAGAGGGGTAGGCAGAAGACTGTGCGTAAAACACAGTCGTTGGCTCAGCTACAAGCTGCTAGGATTGAAGGTAGCCAGGGTGCCTCAACCAGCCATGTCTGTGGCAATAAAGTAAGCTGCCCTCACCATGGCCGTAGTACGGATGGAGAAAATCATAAGGTGGTTGATGCAGTCAGAACTTCCGGTGTAGATGTTGTATCAATTGGAAACTTTTTGAAACAGCTACGATTTGTTGAGAGGAGGTCGATCACTGTTTGGTTGACAGCAGTGGTCCGGCAACTTGTTGAAGCGACTGAAAAGAGTATTGTGAGAGTTGGGCAATTCAGTAGAGGTGTTCCGGTTGAGGAGAAGAGCTCGGCGAGGTGGAAGCTGGGCGAGGATGAGCTATCTGCCATAATACATCTGATGGATTCCTCTCTTGATTTTGTTTCAGCAGTCAAATTTCTTCTTTGGGTGTTACCAAAAACCAGCAGTAGCCCCAGCTTTACCATTCAGGGTGGAAGGAATCTTCTCGTTTTGCCAAAGAATGTGGAAAGCCACACATGCGAAGTGGGCGAAGCATTTTTGGTGTCATCACTTCAAAGGTGAGTTTCCATTACTAGTGGAAGAAATGGTGTTTTATAATATGTGTGTTTCTAGATAAGCCCGATCATCTAGTTGCCAACTAATCACCTGGGAGAATTATATTTCGTCTTTTTCCATGAATTACCTTTTACTTCTTGACTTGTTTCTGCTACATCTTTTCCTTTTTAGTTTATAAAGTGTGCAATGCCAATCCGTTCATTGACTATTTCACAAATAACATTTAAGATTGTATCTGAATTTTCTCACTCACCGATTGCTCTTACGAATTTGCTGGTGTTTCATCAACCTCTTTCAGGTATGAAAACATTCTTCTTGCATCAAATCTTGTTCCCGAGGCTTTGTCCGCTCTAACGTCCCGTGCTGCAGTAATTATGGCTAGTAATGGAAAACTTCCTAGTTCAGGAGCCTTAGTTTATGCTCGGTGTCTTCTGAAAAGATACGGAAGTCTTGCAAGTGTGGTGGAATGGCAAAAGAACTTCAAAGCAACATGTGATAAGAGGCTTATGTATGAACTTGATCTTACACGATCAGATGGGGAATATGGAATTCCCCTTGGGGTTCCAGCAGAAGTTGACAATCCAGATGACTATCTACGTCAAAAAATCGGTTCTACCCGACTTTCAAGGGTGGGAGCTAATATGCGAGATGTGGTGCAACGGCATGTTGACGAGGCCTCTCTCTATTTTCGAAAGCTTGTTGGTGCTGGTATGATGAAAGGCTCTTTTGCTGAGAAAAATGGTGATAGGCATCAGTTTGCTCAACGAATTATAGCCGGATTAATGGATTGCATTAGACAGACTGGGGGTGCAGCCCAAGAGGGTGATCCATCTCTGGTCTCATCAGCTGTTTCTGCTATCGTAAATAGTGCAGGTTCTGCCATTGCAAGGATTTCGGATTTCTTTGTTGGAAATAACTATCAGAATCATTCGTCATCTAGCATAGGTTCATACAATATTGCAAGATACATCCTGCATATCCATATAACATGCCTTTGCCTTCTCAAGGATGCTCTTGGAGTTCGTCAAAGCCGAGTATTTGAAATAGCACTTGCAACAGAAAGTTACACTGCTCTTGCTGGGGTCTTTTCCCCTGGAAAGGCCTCCCGGAATCAGTATCAGTTATCTCCTGAAGCTTATGATTCAAACCCAAGCCCGACAAATGAAATGCTGAACAATACCGGCAAAATAGCATTCAGCAGAGCAACAAAAACTACTGCGGCTGTTTCTGCGCTTGTGGTAGGAGCTATCGTCCATGGTGTTATAACCCTTGAGAGGATGGTGGGACTGCTGAGACTAAGGGAGTGTCTAGATTTTGTTCAGTTTGCACGGAGTACAAAATCCAGTTCTAATGGCAGTGCTCGATCTGTTGGAACCTTTAAGGTGGAAAACTCTATTGAAGTTTATGTGCATTGGTTCAGACTCCTTGTTGGGAATTGCAGAACTGTTTCTGAAGGGCTGGTTTTGGAATTTGTGGGGGAGCCTTCAGTGGTGGCTATATCGCGTATGCAGCGTATGCTTCCGCTAAATTTGGTATTTCCACCGACTTATGCCATTTTAGCCTTTGTCCTGTGGATGCCATTTGTTCTGAGCAGTAACTCTAGCATGCATGAAGACACACGTCGGCTTTATCAGTCTTTGACGATGGCCATCAATGATGTGATAAAGCACCTTCCTTTTCGGGATGTGTGTTTGAGAGATACCCGGGCACTCTATGACCTTATAGTTGCGGATCCCACCGATGCCGAGTTTGCTTCGGTGTTAGAGTTGAATGGTTTAGACATGCACTCGAAAGCGTTTGTTCCTCTCCGTGCACGTCTTTTCCTGAATGCCTTAATCGATTCTAAGGTTCCAGCCTCTGTTTATTCACAGGAAGGAGGCAGTGAAGCAAAATTTCAACATCAGGGAAATGTAGCAAAGCTCCGAGACAAACTCGTATCTGTGGTGGATTCCCTGCAACCTGCAAAGTTTCACTGGCAGTGGGTTGAACTCAGGTTACTTCTAAATGAGCAAGCACTGATCGATAAGCTTGAGAATCATGATATGTCTTTGACAGAGGCTATACGATCTTCCTGTCCTACCTCTGAAAACCCTGATGCTTCTGAGCACGAGAAAAACTTCATTGAAATCATTCTCACGAGGTTATTGGTTAGACCAGATGCTGTCCGGCTTTTCTCAGAGTCGGTTCATCTTTTAGGGAGGTCGGTGGAGGATTCAATGCTGAAGCAAGCTGAATGGGTCCTATCAGGTCACGATGCTCTGTTAGGCCGAAAAACTATCAGACAGAAACTCGCTACAATTGCTGAGAGAAAGGGCTATCCCATCAAACCCCAATCTCGGAAGCCTTGGGGATGGTGCAACTCTAGTGATGCTCCTATGGCAATCAAGACACCAAAGAAAAAGATGTTGGAAATTACTTCTATTGAAGAAGGAGAAGTTGTTGAAGGTGTGGATTCAAAAAAGATGTCTTCCCGGGCAATTGAAGAGCTACACAGTTACGGTCATGAAATAACAACAGAGAGGGCTTTTGTCGAGCTGGTTCTTCCATGCATAGATCATAGCTCAGACAGATCCCAGAGCACATTTCTCAATGAGTTGAGCAAGCAGTTTAGCCAAATCGAACAACTGATAAGTTCAGCTACCCGTAGTTCTAACAAGCAAACCGGAACCATTTCTGTTGGATCTGAAATATCTTCAAATAAAGCAGCAAGTACACGGAAAGGGATACGAGGTGGCAGTCCCAATACGACAAAAAAACTGTCAACTGTTACTCCTGAGAGTGTGCCTCCTTCCCCTGCTGCTTTGAGGGCTTCTATGTCATTACGGTTGCAATTCCTGCT